CGTGCAGGGTTCCGGCCCTTGGAAAGCCAGGCCCCGGTCTCCCTCTGAGACGGAATCGAGGGAGGGGAAGTGACATGGGGACTCTCTGGAGGACCCATCACTGTCGGGGTCGGGAGGGCGGGTGCCACCTGCGTTTGGGGGAGGAGCCTCCGGGGACGGCAGGCAACTCAGAGAAGAGGAAGGAGGGGCCGCGTGGTGCCGCTTGCACCGGGAGTAACCCCATCCTGATGCGGGTGGTGTCTGCCCAGACCCTGGGGACATCGGCCGCCCTTTGGGGACAACAGATAGATGAGGGGTTGGGTCAGGTGGTCACTGAGTTCTCGGCGGCCCGGCTGCTCCTCCCCCTCGGACAGTGCCGGCTCGTCGCACCGAGGACGGGGTGCCAGTGCGCATGGTGAGCTTCCGGCCCCGGAGGACGCAGCTCACAGCCCAGGGAGAGCGCACGGTGCGGGTGGGTCGGCGCCGAGACAGGGCCAGAACCCAGGCGACCGACCGTGGGCTGGAGCGTGAGCCCAGAGGCCTGGCAGGTGCTGGCAGTGGCTGGTGACCGTGACCTGTACGCAGAGGACGCAGTCAGTGGCTGTCAACCAGTGAGAGCTGGATCCCGGTGGGGGGGTGGGGGGGCTGTGTGTTTTTAGGGTACGTTTCCATGGTGATTGGATTGATGGACAGAAGGGGAGACTGCCGGTGAGGGAGAAAGTGGAGACCCGGATGGCGTCCCGAGCGGGGACAGGGACACAGAGGCAGCGGCCTAGGCAGCTGTGGCTGATTTCCAGCGCCCTCGGCCGGCTTCTGCTTTTCCGCAGGGACCACGAGGCCACGGGGTCTGCGGGGAGGCTGGACGGGGTGACCCCAGTGTCTGCAGGGGGCAGAACGAGCCCGCTGCTTTCAGTTGCTTCTGCAATCGCCTCTCCTGCTTTCGTGGCCTTGTCCTCCACGGACTGAAACCTGCCGCTGCCTGAGCCTGGGTTTTCCTCCAGGCCCACGGGGGTGGGGGGCGTGTGGTCCCACCCACTCTGCGTCTCTCAGGGACAGTGGGGGACGCTGTCCTGCTGGCTGCCCTTGGCCACTCCCCGACATCTTGCCCGACCGCACCTGTGGACTCGCGGCAGTGCGGCTCTCAAGTCCCGGGTGGGCCCGGCCCACCCACACTCATGCAGAGGTTGGAGGACCTGAAGGAGGCGGGATCGGTGAGTGAGGAGGGCGGCCGGGGAGACGTTCGGGGCCCAGGGGTGCAAACCGCACCCCGAGCTGTGCGGGGCTGCTGGCTGGGGCAGAGAGACTTGGCAAAGCCACGGGGGGTGTGTGCCCCAGGACCCCCGGCCCCCCCCAGTGCACACTGAGATGTGCTCAGATCGATCGCCGTAGCTCCTGGTAGCAGGGGTGGCGGCCACCGTGTTCTGACTTTGCAAGACAGAAATCCCTGCCAGGCACTAACTGAAAGTCAGCCCCTGGGGTTCACAGAACCCCAGGTTTGGTGGCCTTCCCCGGATTCACCTGCTCCCGGAGAAGCGATTTCAGTCCACGTGAAGCAGATTCGGCCGCAGTCCTTCTCCCACAGGCAGGGAGATGAGCCCGGGTGCCGTGGGCCCCACGTGTGGAGACAGACCCCCGACCCCCACTTCATCCTGCGGAAGTGGCCGCCAGGACGTGTCCCCCTGGCCTGGGGAAGGGCTGTCCCTGAGCTCACCTGGGGAGTGGCCAGGGGACCACAGCCACTAGCCCATCCCGCGGCTCAGAGGAGGCGCATTTCCATCCGCCTGTCGTCCCTCAGCAGCCACACGGGGGAGCCAGGGAGCCGGACCCCACGCGCTTGCGTGGTGGTTGAATCGTATGGCGTTTGTCACATAAAGCGACTCACTGCGTCTCCCAGGAGCCCCTGCTTCGGGGGGGGGGGCTCTCATTTACATCTCATACAGTCGAGCAAACCGAGGCTCAGAGAAGGGGTTCGAACCTAGGACCGTATACGATGCAGACTCACGGACCGTGGGGTTTAGACAGCCCTTGGGGAGGATGCGGCCCAAATCGGTCTCATTGAACTCAGTTCCACTGGGTTCAAAGACATTGGAGGGCCTGGTGGGTCGTGCCACACCCTAGGTATGAAACTGGGCCTCGGCCTGGCTTCTGTCCTCACAGGGGAGCCAGCCTGGCAGCTGAGTGGCTCAGACAGTGCAGTGGCCTGGAGGGACTGTGAGCTGAGCTGGGAGGAAGAGGAATAGATGGAGGAGGAGGAGGGTGTGTTTGCAGGGCCGCGTGGGGTGGGGGCCCTCAGTCAAGGTCCAGGTGGGCTCACAGAAGCTGCTGGTTGTGGGAGGAGGGGCTCCCACTGAGGGGGCCGGGAAGGGGGGCCAGGACCAGAGTCTGGACCCCGTCTGCAGGGAACAGGAGCACTCGAGGCCGGCCGGCACCGCGGTCTAGAACAGCGACGCTGGTGACGGTGACGGCGACGTGACATTCATGGGGCATTCCCCTGCGTAACCCCGTTAATTCTCAGGAGCACTTGGCGGGGGATCCGTTGTGGTCCTCATGTGACTGGCGTGGACGCTCACGACGAGGAAGCTGAAGTCACCTGTGACACCATCGGGACCTCCGCTAGGACAGGCTCGGGGGCTGTGTTTGCTGGAGGGACCCCCCTCGGCCCTGTGGGAAGCGGCTTTGGTGGAGGAGGGGGAGACGCTGCCCTGAGAAGCGTGCCTGGCCCCTGGGGCGCCCCGACTTCGGAACACGGAGGGCAGCGCCCCTTCCCTGCTGAGCTTCCTGCCCCCCGGGGAGCCCGGAGACGAGTGGCCCCGGCCTCCAGGTCAGCGAGGCCGTGCGTCCCGAGGCTGCATCGTGGCGGGTGGAGCGGCGTGTGGGTCTGGCGGTGGGGGGAGCGCAGGCCGGGCCGAGAGCAGCGCCTGCCCAGTCAGCACCTCTCAAGGGGCCCCGGGAAAGGCTCGGACTCTGGGGCCCTCCGAGTGGGCGATGGAGCTGTGTGTGTGCTGGTGACAGGGGCGGAGATGGCGGGACCGTGAACCGGTTTATTCGCACGCACCTCCTGACGGACCGTGCAGGCAAGTCACTAGCTTGTGAATGTGCCTAATGAGCCCGTCTCTGCGAACGTGCCAAAAACTGCCTAATTAACTTCTTTTCCCGCCAGTCAGACGGCGGCGTGAGGATCCCTGATGGCGTCTGCACGCTGTCTTTTCCCGCGTCAGCAGCGCGGTGCTGAGGCAGCCCCGTGACATCTATAAAAGCGCTCGTTTATAATTAGGACGCTCTGGGCTCCAACCGTCACGGCGCAGTCTGGAGCAGAGGCCCGGTCTAACTGCGGTGGATTAGCCGCCAGTGCTCCGGGGCTGCCGGGCCGACGGGCCGTGGGCGTTTCCAAAGTGGCTGGGTTGAGAAAGCAGCAGCAGCAGCAGCTGCGGTTCGGGGGGTTTTGGGGGGTTTTGGGGGCCGGTGCGGAGGAAGGAGGGGTGCTGAGAGGCTGAGCAGGGTCGCCCATCTGTTTGTCTCCTCACTGTCTGAACGTGAGGACCATCTGGGGGACAGCGGTGTCACAGACCAGACACTGGGTCCCACGCCACCGACTCCTGGTGCTGCCCTGTGTTTGCAGCAGGGGGATGGGCCCCCTGTTCCCGTCAGAGTCCCCGGGGCCTGAACAGTCTGCCATGGGCTCCAGAAGGAGGGGACGGGCCGTCCTTTCTGCTGTCGGTTCTGCATGTCGCCCCGGATTCTACCTGCGTGTGACACCGAATGCCAACCACCCCGTCAGGGCCCCTCACGGATGACAGCCGGTCCCCGTGGCCAGGAGGCAGCCCCTGCTGCTGCCCAGGGACCGGTGGCAGGAAGTCCTCGGATGCCCCGCGGGAACCGGATTCCGACTGGACGTCAGAATCACGTGCAGGAGGCTCGGTCCCTGTCAAAACCTGCCGGGTTTGGCTGCTGAGGAATCTGACTCAGGAGACCGTGGGCCGACCCAGGGAATCTGTCTTTCCCTGAAGAGCCATCCGATAATTTTGGTAGCGTTTCTTTAACTGGGGAGAATGCTCCCATCTCTTCGGAGGCTCGAATCAATTTGTGATCCCCAAAAAGCTTAACAACTGTTGGCTGAAACTCTGAATACGGGCCTGAATCTGAATAGTAATCAAGTAGCTACGCATCCCCGCCACCCGGGATAGCGTCTTTCAGTTACATGGTAGCAACCACTTCCTTTAAGCTGAAAAAGAACTCGTTCAGGGATCAGGGATATGGACGCCCACACTCAACAGCCACTTTGAATGGTGGAATCTCTACTCGTGTGAAAAAAATAAGCCGCCACCTTGAGAGAGAGGCGTATGTGCATAGCTCGTGGTTTTCTTCACCTGGGGAAATCGGTCCCGGGACCATGCCCCACGTGAGCCCCTGCTGAGAGGCGGGGTCCCGCCCTAGGTGGCGTGCTCAGCTAGGACACAAAAGCCGTGTGCTGGCACACGGTGAACACACTGAATAAGAGCGGAGACTGGCCGCAGACTTGGGCCGAACGGTCGGGGGGTGACGCTGTGAAGGGGGGTTTGTGCACAAGCAGGGGGAGCCCAGACCTGACGCGGGAGGGGTCTGCCTTGGAGAGAAAGGCGGCCCTGCAGGTGAAGCCCCCCCACGCGCCTGCCCAGGGAGGGGCCGAGCATCGCTTCACCTTTGCCTGCCGTTCTGCCAGGGAGGTGTGGCCACCCTCCAGGCCCGGACGACGGGAGCCCCGCTGTGGAGAGCGGGAGGGGTGGGGACGGTGCAGGCGTCGGCTTCCCCAGGGCCCGTCTTCCCAGAGCATCGCTGGGGGGAAGAGAAGCCACAGTGGCCCCCCGGTCTTGGGAACGACCCCGGGGTGATGGGTCAGAGGGCGACAAAGGACAGGTGAGCACGGGGTGTGGGGCGGGTCCACGGCGGGGGAGGGGCCGTGACCTCACGCAGGGGCGGGTGGTGAGGACGAGGGCAAACGGGGGGGGGGGGGGGGGAGTGTGTTGTGCAGACGCGCTCTGCCACGCGTCCCGGCTAACGACGTTTAAATGTAAATCTGCAGGCGTGGGCCTCAGTCAGTCAGTTTGAATAACGTCTCGTCCTGAGCTGTTGAAGTTTTTGTCACCATCTAATTGATTTGTGTCCCTTTCAATAACTTGTTTCCCAGGGGCTCGTCCCTCTCCTGGGCCTGCGGAACAGGTGGCCGGCCACCTGCATTTCTTTCTCCACTTACAGCATCTTGACACCTCCTCCCCCCTCAAATGCCTGACAGCTGACGGGGACCCGCTCGGAGGAGGTCACCGGACAGACGCAGCCCGCTGTGATGCTCAGCTGCCCCTCAGCTCTTCAAACCCAGGTCAGAGTCACCCCAAAAGGCCCCCCAGAGGCCTGCCCCCTCACCTCTCCTCCCATACCCGTCACTCACTGGAGTCGCTGGGCACCCGTGTCACATTGCCCTTCAGCACGGTCACCTGACTTGGGCACAGCTCCGCTTTGTGTCGTTACGCTCCTCCCAGCTCTCTGGGGCAAAGGTGGGCTCCGTGTCCCCCAGGTCAGGTTTGCATAAGGTGTGGCACACCCGTGTGCACACCCACCCACACACATGTGGGCGCCCACTGTGGCTGTGCTCTGAGTTCTAGTCCCTCTCACCGCCATCGGCCGCCCCGCTCTCTCAGGTCTCCTACGAGGGCCAAGCAGGGGGACCGTGCGGCTGATGAGCGAGGGGGCGTGCGGCGGGTGCGTGGGTTCTCGTGCGTGACCCTTCAGAGAGCAGCGTGCTCTCACTCCCAGGAGACGCACCCGCGGCCTTCGGGGGGCCCCCAGTTAATGGGGAGCGAGGAGCCGCATGTCGGAGCAGGACACTCGGATGCAGCCGGGAGACCTTCCCAGACCTCAGGTCGCATCAGGGAGTCGGTCGCCTGCCAAGCCCAGGCCTGCGAACTCCGGGTTTGCGGTGACTTCGCCTCCCAGCCCTGCCGCGGTGACCGCCCCACTGGGTTCTCGGGCCCCCCCACCGCCCCCCACGCTCACCCGCTACATGATACTATCAGGCAGGAGGGGGCCTCGGAGACCCGGGGGGGACCGGCGGGGCGCCCCCTCGGACACCCCGCCACATGCGCTCCCCCTCTCGGTCCCGCGCTCTGAGACCGAGGCCTCTGAGTGCCTCCGCCTCCCGGCGGGCTGTCTTCCACGCGGCGGGCATCAGCGCCGAGGTGGCCGGGCCATTCAGGGGTCTCTGGGGCTGCTTGGCGGGCACCGTCGGAGTGAAAAGTTGCCACAGACGCTGGGCCCGCGAGGCCTAGCACACCTCAGGCCCGGGCCTCGGAAGGCCGTGTCCTCTCGCACCTGCCTTCCCAGGAAGTGTTCTTCCGCGTGTAGGTCCACGGACGACTTTTTCTCCAGAGCTTGCAGGCAAAGCCCCTGGGCTCGGGAGAGAGGTGAGTTGAACCCGATCAACACACACTGGTTACGTTCCCTGTCTGTTCCGAAAACCTCAAGGTCACGGCGGCCAATTGTGCCCAACACCGGCACGTCCCACGAGGCGTGTATCTGGGAAGACCTCGGGCCTCCACGGTCGTGATTTTGTCGGACCCCCAGGAGGGGGAGCTAAGGCCGCAGACGAGCCAAGTGGCCCCAAATCCGAGGAGGGAGCGTGTGGGGGCAGAGGGGTCGGGGGCACTGGGCTGGGGCAGACACACCTGGGCACCCGTGAGCGTCCGGCCGTGCCCGGGGGACACGGACACTGGGCACCACCCTGGCTCGCAGCCCTGGGCACTCCCAAGAGGGCTGACGGCGTCTGCGGTGGGGAAGCGGGGACAGCACAGGTGGGACAAGAGGCGCAGCTGGACCCTCTCCCTCGTCCCGGGCAGAACGAGAGCTGTGACTTTTGGGGACAGGGGACAGAGAGGACGACGCCGGTCTGGGGTCCCGGGAGAACCTGGCAGAGGGCAGCTCGGGAACGGGACGGAGGCCACCGTCACCAGCGATGCAAACCGCCGTCCTGTACCTCCCGTGCGACACACCGAGACCACCCTCCACCTCTGCGGCATCCCCTCGCGACCTCCGACAGCATCGAGGTCCTGAGTGACGAGGAAAGAATGACGGCCGTCCCCACTGGAGGTGACAGACAGTTAAGTGCAGGGTCCCGTGTGGGGTGGCAGAGAGGACAGTGGTGGGAAAACTGTGGAAATCTGTTCACACTCGACACTCAGGGAACGGTGCTGTGCTGAGGTTGATAAGTCGTCCGCAGGAGGGGAAGCTGGTGGAGGGCACAGGAGAGCTCTCCGTGCTGCGGCAGGCAGTTCCGCTCCAGATCGAAGGTGTTACTCAAATACTAAGGATGCTGTTGAAAAAGCACTGGACGGTTGGGCGTTTCTTTACCGCGGACTTTGCCAGGAACATTCCAGAAACCTGCAGCTCGAGCCTGCTTCTCATCAAGGTGCCGACTGTGACGTGGTTGCTGCCCGGGTCCCCACTCCGCTAACACACCAAAAGCAAACACATCGTTTTGTTCCTACAACACGTTTCCCCGAGCCTCACGCTGGAGTTTCTCCCGTGGGTGACGGCCGTTGCAAATGCCGTGTGCACGCCTCGTAAATTTAATCTCCACGTGCGGGCTCCGCAGGTTCGTGCGCAGCTGCCAGGCTGAGCGCGTTCTCCAGTCGCGCCTCTTGCTGGCTCCGTGGCCGAGACGGACTCTCCCCTGTTGTCTGTGAGTCCGTCTCCCCACCGAGGTGTGGCCCTGGCGCTCTGCCCCCCTCCTGTGTTTCCGGGGCTCAGCGTCCCGCACAGCCGTGGCCGCCAGCGTCCAGACACACCGGCACCTCGCAGGCATTTCCCCGTCAGGACACACGTGGGCCCTAAACGTCCGGTGCGGCCGCCTCGACACCACTGCCAGGCATCAGCTCTGCCTTCCCGACTGGATTTCACCCCGAGGTGCCCTGCAGACGGGGCTAAGCATCGTGGCTGCTTTCATCCGTCCGACTGTGAAGGACGGACCGAGGGGTAGCCCCCTCCGGGTTGTGCCCACCCAGTGCTCTCCCCAACCCGGTCCCGAGGGCCCAGAGAGGCTGAGGGTCCGGGCGGGGCCCGAGCCCTGAGATCACGAACGGGAGGACATGACCCTGCAGCGTGCCTCCCGCAGCGGGGGCAGCGTCGCGTCCGGACCCCAGGCTCACCCCAGCTCTGCTCCCGGCCACACCCGATGCCTCGGCTGTTGTCGTTAACACTGTTACCTGGTGGTATCAAAACCGCTCCAGCCCTGGCAGTGTGGCTCAGTTGCTTCGGGCCTTGTCCTGTGCAGCAAAGGCTGCGGGTTCTATTCCCGGCCAGGGCACACGCCTGGCTTGTGGGTTCAGTGTGTGTGGGGGCTGCAACCTGTGGATGTGTCTTCCTCCCGCCCTCCCTCCCTCCCTCCCTTCCTCCCTGTCTTCCTCTTCTCTGAAATCTATGATCCTTTCTTTCGATGAGGACTAAAAATAAATAAAATAAAATAATAAAGTCACTCCCAGCACAGCAGTGAGACACAGTGGCCTCTCGCATGGAAAGGGCGACGCAGAGCAGGAGACCCTGCCCCCAGGGGACTGTCCTCGGGCCTCAGACTCTGGAAGAGGCGCCGCGCTGAGCCCCAGGCCCATCACCGGCAGTGAGAAGTGACGTGTCTGTGATTAACGAAGGCCCCTCGTGGCCCCTTTCCCTGAGCTGGCAGGGACCTGCCTCCCATCTGAGCAAACCCAAGGGTGTGTCAGCCAGACGGGGCTGGGGGGGAGAGTGGCGGCTGGCTGGGCATCAGCGTCCACCATGTGGGCTCCCCGAGCTGGCCTCTATCTTCTCGGTGCCCTGACGCTCCCCCTTTAATGACATTTGTTCTGATGCCGGCAGGAAGCCACTGTGGGCGTTCTTCCACATTCCCCAAGGAGCCTGGTCTGGAGACGAGCTCAAAAATATTTGCTGGTGGGTTGGAGGCAAAAACATGCAACCAGAAGTCAGGGCGTCCGCGTCCCCATCACTCCCCACACCCGCACACTTCCCGGCCAGGCCGAGGTGCGGCCCCGGGGCGGCCCTGCAGAGGGGGCCCTGGGACGAAGGGAGCAGGACTTGTGTGTGGCGCTTTGTGGCTCAGTGGCTGGGCACACGCGTGTGCCCACTCTCGGCACTGGGACCCCGGCTTTGACAAAGCACATCTGCTGCAGAACACGCGAGACTGAACACAGGACACGGGTGACTGAACACCAGTGGCGGAGTCTCCCGCAGCCACCAAGCTGGGTCTCGCCCCCCATTTCTGCTCGTTCCATCCCTGGGAGGCGTCCGCACACCCACGGCTCCTCCACCTGCCTGAATCCTACACAGCATTTAAATCCCTTCCCCACTCTCCCCACCAGGTGGGACTCGGGGGAGGGACCCCCCCCCCATGGTCTGGGGTGTGCAGCCAGAAGTTCACGTAGTAACATTATGAGTTGTGCCTATCTGACGGTAGTTGCTGTGTATCAAGCGCTTACTACCTTCTAGGTTTGTGATACACTTTTGATACATTCTCCCAATCAGAAAGCACCTGTGAGGCAGGCCAGGCTGCCTTTCCGGTGTGAAACCCAGACAGTGCCACGAACTCCGAGGAACACTGGGGAGGAAGAGCCCCTGGGCCGAGGCTGTGCGGCTGAGGGCGGCAGACTCTGCACCATGAACGAGTCTGGAGGAGGGTGGGCACCCACGAGGCCCTGTTGTGGTGGTGGGGGGGAGCCAGGGGGTCAGGGAGAGGCTTGGCTGAAGGCCCCAGTAGGCTACAGCTGGTGAGCACGAGGCCCGCGGGCCGAATCCGGCCCCCACCCTGTTTTACCCGGCCCAGCACTTTCTACCCGGCAGCAGCGCCCAGCTCCTCGCCCCTAGTTAAAGGGTCGTCAGTCACATTTACACAGTCCTAACATTACACTCGGCCCTTTGAAGGCCACCACGAGGCCAATGTGGCCCCGGTGACAACGAGGCTGACACCCCCGGTGTAGGACAAGCCAGCAAAGCGCACACAACTATTCTCCTGCCGGGCGAGCGTCCCCAGCTTCCTGCGGGCTCCCTTCTCTGCTCTAAGCCTGTGGTCACGTTGGGCCCCCAAATAATCCAGGATCATCTCTCTAGTCTAAGGCCAGTTGATCAATCACCCTAACGGCACCTGCGATGTCCCTCTTTGCCACAATATAACAAAACTATGGGCTCGGCGGCAGAGGGCGACGGCCGTCGGGCCCCACATCCTACCGACCACACGGGCTTCAGGGACGCACACGACCTGCAGCTCCTGGACATGGGTGGACGGGATGGTGACCCTCTGGTTCCTGAAGACGGGAGCGAGCGGAGAGAAGCCGGCAGCAAGCGGAGAGAAGCTGGGAACTGGGTAACAGGCTCTCGCTGTTCGGCCGGTCTGGGCCTTGACCCTGAGTGGCGGCACCTGGGGCAGCGGAAGGGCGGCGTCAGCCCCGTGGTCTCGGGCGGGCCAGCTGCCCACGGGGGCCTCGGCGTCCCGATGCGTAAACAGAAGAAGTGGAACCAGCCTGTTCCTAATCCCGGGTTCATCACAGGCTTTCGTCTTGTTTTCCTGCCACTCGCTGGGCCGCGGGCCAGGTGCGGGGAGGCGGGGCGGGAGCCGTGTGCAGATGCCGAATTCATCCCGTCTTTCCGAGAGTCATGCCGACAGCTGTTTCTGAGTCATAATAAAAGGTTAAGTATTTTAATAAAACAGACACATGTTGAAGGTGAGCTGGGTTTCCAGTCAACTCCCTGATACCCATGATTTTTTCCGCACATGCAAATGTGGGAACTGGAAGCTTACTAATAAGCTGAGAGGCTCGAGCCTAATTAGCAACCGGCCTGGGGAAGGTTACGGGAGCTGACTCAGCAAACGAGCGGGATAATTGCTGGAGCCGGACTTCGGCACCTTCCAGCAAGCTTGTTAATGGAGCTCAGAAAACGCCTTCCCCACGGCCTCCCAACCTCAGGGCTTCCTCCAGGTGCCGGCGTTTTGTCGGCAGGGGGCGGGGCTCCCAGACGGCGGGCAGAACGCAAACCGCCTTCCGCTGTGGGTCGCAGCCTCTCGGCTCGGAGACCCACGGGAGCCTCGGGCCTTCGGCTGCCCGGTCAGCCCTCAGCTTGACTTTACCTGCTGCCGGCTCAGAGGGGGACCGCCAAGGAGCCTGTTCTCACTCGTGGCCTGTTTGAAACTGGGAGATCTAATGTTTCCAATGTTATTTTTCTAATCCTCACCCGAGGATATAGTTATTGATTTGAGAGAGAGGAAGGGGAAGAGAGAGAGAGAGAGATCAGTTGCCTCCCATGTAACCTGACCAGGGATTGAACCCACAACCTTCAGGTGTATGGAGGGCAATGCTCCAACAAATCCAGCCACCCAGCCAGGGCCAGATACTAAATTTTATTTTATTTTTAAAAAGATTTTATTTATTTTTAGAAGGGAAGGAGAAAAAGAGGGGGAGAAACATTGATTGGTTGCCTCTCCAGTGCCCCCTAGTGGGGACCTGGCCCACAAACAGGTCTGTGCTCTGACCGTGAATTGAACCACTGGCTGTTCAGTTCACAGACCGACACTCGATCCACTGAGCCAGTCCAGCCAGGACCAGATGTTAAATTTTCATGAAAACAACACACGTGTGTGGTGTTCAGCACGGCAGCCCCTCTCTCCACAAGTCACACCTACGAAACCTCATTGACACCTCACAGCAGCCCCGGGAGCCCTGCGTTCTGACGACTCTCAGTGTGCAGACGGGGAGACTGAGGCACGAGGTAATGTGCCTGAGCTCACACAGACAGACAGTTAAGGAGCAGAGACAACGCAGAAACTCCAGAAGGTTGGCTCCTGGACCCTGACCGGCAGCCGCGTCCCCACACTGGGTTTGTGACTTGACATGGGAACATTTAGGGGAAACTGAGCAAGGAAAAGCGCTGCCCCCCCTCCCCCAGGCCGCTCTCCCTCATGGCAGTTGCCAAAACAGAAACTTCCCTGGGCTTCGCCAGCAGTGGCCCATGCCCCGGTGTCTCCCAGCCCTCGCTTTGTTACTGAACAAGCTCTTCTGTGGTTACTGCGTCAAACTGTGTGGCCACGGTGCTTTCCACGTGCAGTGGCTCTGCCTGGTTGGGACGTTTTCCGGTCCCCGGCTCCTGCTCCTGTCCCAGGCCCTCACGATTCCTCTGAGCCACTGCCCTGGCCAGAGGAAGCCAAGGAGCTGCTCCTCCAAGGCGGGGCCTCACCCTGGGCTTCTTACCCAAATGTGACTCACCCTGGGACCAGTGTCCTGGTCTTCCTGCCTCCCTCCGACCTCAATTTATTAACCTCCTACTCTGTCCTTGGCCCCCGAGACTGGGTCTGGAGAGACGGCAGACCCCCGTCACAAGGCTTGGGGTCCCGGCCGGGAGCTTACTCTGAGCTTCATGCAGACCCCACGCCGAGCCGGGCTGTGAGCTGGCCCTGGCCTGCAGGACGTCGTGGGTCCGAGCGGCGGAGCAGAAGGAAGGGCAGGCGCCGAGCTGCTTTGCAGAGGCACTTCCGGCCAGTGCGTGAGGCCGGGGCGGCACCTCAGGCCCAACGGGCTTCCTGCAAGCCGGGAATGTCCCCGCCGGAAGACGCACGCGGCAGACCTCATCCTACTGCTCTGTGCCTGGCATGGGAAGGCTCCACAGTCGGTTTGAGACGTAACTGTGTCTCGTTCATGAAAACTGAGGTTCGTGTTTCCCATCACAAAGGCAGAGGGAAGGACTGGACTGTGGCGAGATGTGAGAGGAAAGCTGCCGGGGACGTGGAATGTTGTCTTTTGTCAGTCACACCACCAGCTCCCAGGACAGCAGACTGAGGACAGGAGAGAACCCTGCTTGTGGATCCCGCAGGACGGAAATCGTCGTTTCTGTTTACACTCAGCAGAACGAACCGGACCTGCAGGAAGCCGCTGCCGCCCTCCCCGTGCCGCTGGCCGGAGCCCGGGCCCAGCGGGGGCACCTCCCGGCTCTTGGATGCGCACCGGGACCCGATGGAGTCTTCGGGGCCTCACCTGTCACCAGGCAGAAGGGGGTTCCCTCGCTCTTCTCCATTACGAGTTCACAGGACGCAATTTCCTCCTTAACATCTAGCCCGTAGGCAGTTGTGGGGAGTCCGGAGGGCATTGGAGCTCGGGCGGGGGGCACCGAGGGGTCTTTCCTGAGTGTTCGCTGAGGACGGGCTGGCCCTGCACAGTGTCTGTCCCCCCTCATCTCTGACCCTGTCACTGTGACTCCACCGTTCACGATGTGACGGTGGCTCTGTCCCCAGGGTGGACCCTGGCCGAGACAGGCATTCTGTCCCCATCAGGTGAGCTTGAGGCCAAGGGGCTGGGTCCGCCCACCCCCTTGTATTTCTCTTCCGGTTCCTGGACTTTCAAAAAGTCCTACCTC